GCAGTAGATTTACGGACTTACAATGCTTAAGTCCGGGGTTCGATTCTCGTTGTGTGTAGCTTTGAACTGAAACAACCAAACAAAGCCTTCTCTCGATATGGTAGATGTGTATCGTGTTTTAGATTCGATTTAATACTTATGATACGTTTGTTGTAGCCTGGATTTAGTTGTAGGAAATTAATTTTCTGTCGAGGTTAAGGTTTCTCGAAGGCTATTTAACTTGAAACAGTATTCAATTTGTTTCTTAATATTTTATGTTTGACATTATGGACTACTTGCACAGATAAACCACATAAAATAAAAATATAATTATGACATTGTTATGGGAGATAAAATATTTAATACACATACATACACTCGTATATATGTACGTATTTAATAAAACAATGCGGAAATGCCCTTTACTGACAGGTATTCTCCCTTCCGTTTCACCAACACATTAATCGGTTTCAGAACCCGACAGAGGCCGGTAGCATTTGTATTCGTTCACTGCTGTGCTGGTTGCGGAAATAAGTGATTTGTGTTTATGATAGTTACGAAACAAAATAATTTCATTATACTGTGTGTGAAGGCGCTTTGATCTCTAATATTTTGTTTTGTTTTTGGGGGGAGGGGAAGAGTTAAATTCCTCGGCGATTTTTAGATGCATGACTGCAGTAAATACGTGGAGGCTGATGCCAACAAAGCCTTATACAAATGATAGTACTCAAACAACCATCAGATGAAATTGTCCATGCAGAAAATGGAAAGTTTGGTTCAACAGGAGTTCATTTGAATCCCAAGGCATGTTCCAGGATAAAACGTATATCTAAAGAAGTCAAGCCAGTACTAAGACTGTAGCTCCTTCTCCGTGAACATGTTAAAGGCTCGCTGAATCGTATTTAGATAAAACAGACAGCTTAGGTGAAGCACATAATACAATATGTCTCTTGAGATTCTGTTATAAGGCTTAAAGAACAAAATAAGTTAAAGTCGGCACCTGATAAAGCTAGTTGCTTGAGGTGAAACACCTTTATAGCTGGATTAACAAATATTTATATTTATATATATGTATTAGTATAATAAAGGTTTGTATTCTTTTATAAAGACCCAAAAATATCTATACTGGTTTTCGTTCTCAAAGTAAACAATAGCATAACCACAACAAAATGTGTAGTTTCCTGGATGGATAATTTTATTTTTGTTTAATTCCTTTATCCTGTAAAAGTGTTTATGATATACATTATAGTTTTTTAAAATAGATTGTTATATCTATAACCGGAAAAAAAAAGAAAGAAAGAAAAAAAGAGAGACCATTGTTTATTCTGTATATAAACTGGTCCTGAAACTTACTACTAGAACAACTTATTTAGAGAAATAGTGATATAGTTAGGGCGCTTGACCCACACTCTGAGGGGTGCAGGTTTGAATCCCCATCCCGCTAAGTATGCCGTGGTGGCGTTATAATGTGACCTATAATTTTACCTATTAATTCCTGAAAGCATACGTTTTGTAAGAATATTTTCGCGGAGTTCAAATAAGTCTAATAATCAGTTGTTATAATGTAATTAATAGAGTTTAGGCATCATAGAACAAACTTTAGAACTTAAAGGTCAAATGAACTTAAACTTTATCGATTTCCGTAAAGCCTTTGATAGCGTCCATCGAGAAACGTTGTGAAAAATTGTGAGACTATATTGTGTACCAGAAAAATTCATAAACATATTCAAAAGTCTTTATGAAAACTCCAGCAGTTGTGTAAAAACTAACATTGGGACCACGGAGTACTTTAATGTATACAGTGGCGTGAGACAAGGTTGTGTGTTATCTCCCTTTTTCTTTCTTTTGGTGGTAGATTTTGTCATGAAAAAAGCGATGAATGTTGGTGATGGGATAATGTGGGG